AGTATGACGATGAGATAATGGAGTAAGAATATGTAAAATCCATTGCGTTATATACTAAAAGAGAGTGAGAATAAGAAAGATGTACCATAGTTTAATAGGTAAATCGCCAGAGTTCGATTCCATTGTTTGTGAAAGAATCCCTAAATGGTAAGTTGTAAAAATAGGGGGGTTGAAATAACTCCTAAGTTTAGTCAGGTTAAAAAAAAAAGAGAACATTTTGGCTTGGGGCCGGGAGTAGTGGCGTGCTCCTGTAATCCAGCTACTTGGAGGCCAGGGTGGGTGGGTGACTCTGATCGAGTGATTCGGGCTCAGTTTGTTGCGCATTTTAAGATAAACGGTCGACGGGGCGCCCTGACCAAGCGTTCTCGCCGGCCGACAGGGTATTTAGGGACTTGTTCCCGATGCGCGACAGCTGAGATCCGTTTCCTCGGTCGCAGACGAAGAGTCAGACCTGACCTAACCTACCGGGGAGGAGAGAGTGTGGGACTCGGCACTTTTCTTTCAGGGTTTCATCATCCTGCTCCGGGAAACGGGGATGCGAGCGGATGGTCGACGGGAAGATCTTCATGCGTGGGATGTACCGGCTCCTTTCGCGGGGGATCGACTCGTCTCTGGAAGCTCGTCATTCTCGGGGGATGCTTCGCATGCTTAAAGACGGTGCGTGCGATTCATTCCCACGGCGGAAAGAAGATGCGAACAAGATGAAGATCGGGACGACGACGGACCCGACGATGACGACGACGTCGGAGTCTGGCAAACTTTGGGTCGTCGCGGGGTCGTCGAGGAAGGAACGGGGATTAACGTCATTTCGTTTCAGGTGTGCATCTTCGTGATCTTCCAAAACGGACCGCGGTGGGAGGGCGCAACGGAAGGAGTCGGCGAGACGGGCGGGAGTCGCGCCCCGTCCGGTTCGTTCAGGTCCGGAGGTTCGTTTTCTCCCGCGGGGGAGGCGGAAACGACGTGGCAGGTCGGAGTCGTCTTCCTAGGCACGAGGGAGGAAAGGATTCGTCCCGGTACTCCGAATCGGGCTCCGGATCTCTTGCTCGATTACGTCGGGGGGAGATTCGTCCCGGCTTCGGTGCGTCGGCGTTCCTCTCGGCGGTCGGGGTCTGGCAAACCTCGATCGTCGTGGGGTCGTCATGAGGGGGGGAGAACGGGGATTAATGTTTCTGTTTTTCAGGTTCATGTCTTCGATCTTCCTTCCAAAGCGATTAGTGGCGGGGGGCGCGCAGATGAAGGAAACGGGCGGTTCGGCCGGGAGTAGCGAACCCGCCCGCGTCGTCCGGTTCCGGAAGCTCGCGTTCCCCGCAGCGGAGGCCGGAGCGACGTGGCAGGTCGCGAACGTCTCCGCAACGGTGAGGGTGATGACGCCCGGCGGCGGCGGGTGCGAACACGTCGTCGTCGGGCGGAAACACACACACACACACTTCTTTCTTTCTTCTCGAGGGTCGGCGACCCCGGTCGATCCCTCTTCTGTCCCCTTTTTATACTCCTCACACCGTTAGGGAGAATGCGATCAAATAACACTTCCCTTTTGATCTTTTACCCTTTTCAGGTGGTGCGGTAAGTCTTCATCCCCAGCCCTGATCGCATCCTCAAGAAACAGGCGCGTTTCTCATCCAATTCCCCACGGCGAGGGACCAGAGGACACTTCCGAAAGGGGTGCCGAACGTCCCGGGAGGTGCGTTCTCATCTTCGAGGAGGAGACGGAACGGAGATTAGGGCGGATCTCCCCATAAGTGATCATGTGGAACGGAAACGTTCTGGCTTACCGGAGAGGGGAGACTGAAATGTAGGTTCCACTCCCACGAGCGTCTCCCCCCCCCTCTTCACATAAGCCACGCTATTGCGACATGCCCAGGAGTTTTAGTGGGTATGGGTTCCCGGTTAGGCTTTCTTTCGAACTTTTTTTAGGCTTTCTTTTTTAAAGTAAGTGATCATAAAAGTAATTTTAAAACCACAAAGTTTTCCAAAAAAAACTTTGGGGAACCCGAGTTAACGAGGCGACTTGATTTTTGCAATATGCTTAAACGCAATGCGAATGACCCATTTTTGAAAAAGAATGGTCACCGAAGATGAAAAGGGGGTTGTCAATGACAACATTTTGAGGAAAAGATTCTGGTCTAGGCAAGGCGAGCATCCTAAATCTGACATTCACCAAAAAAGGACTGTCATAATTTTGGTGGGAATACAAAGGCATAGTCTAATTTGAGCTGCTGCTGCCACGAAATCAGACCATAAATTCAGAGGTTTATATTTGACGATTGACTAATTTAAATAATCTCATTCAAGAAAAGGAAGAATTGTCTTTCACCACTATTATGTCAGGCCCCACATATCCTTAGCTACCAGACAAAAACTACTGGAGCTAGGCTGGGATGTTTTGTCGCACTTTATTTATAGTCCCAACCTAGCTCGAAGTGAGTATCATTATTTCCGATCACTAAAAAATTTTTTGAACGGACAAAAATTCCGAAAAGGACAATGAGGTCCAAAATTGCATTGGATCAGTTTTTTGCTCCTAAAAATAAAAAGGTTTTATAAAAAAAAAGGGAATAATGACACTACCCGAAAAATGTCAATAGGCCACTAATAATATTAATGGACGTAATATAATAGATAAAAATAATTTTACATAATAAACATTAAAATTTTATTTTTAACACGAATTAAAGATACTAAATAAATGTATATTTTATTATTATTCGTTGCTCAAATTATTTTTATTACGTATCAACATTTTCTGCATTGACCGTATTTTTTGACACTGCATCATCTTGTAATTCTTTCTCTTGTAAACATCCAGCCAAACAAGCAAATCTTTTGTTCACTTCAACTCTACAATAAAATATTTTACTTATAGAATGCAAAAAATGTCAACTGTTTGTGTAATTTTTCAATAAGTTTCTTTCTTACCTAAATCTGGGATGACTTATTGCATAAATGTATGGATCAATACAAGCAACGGCTTTACATGCACAAGCAGGAATCATGGAAACCAATGGAGTTATTAAATGTCTGCAATCATTAAAATAAACAATTATACCTGATATCAATACATCAAACCTTAAATTAAAACCTTACTTATTTCCAAAACATCCTATCAATGCTACAACAGCATAGGGGGTCCATGAAATGACAAATAAAAAACACATGGCGATGGCAACTTTTGTGATTCTTATTTCGACTGCATAATTTTTATTACCATCCGATCTCAAGGATTCAACGTTCATTTTTTTAGCCTGAATATAAAAATCCATTTACTATAATTCACTAATGTAATGAAAATTTTTGGAAAAAGAAAATGATTACCTGTGCTTTTAATGATTTCTCATGATTGATGACGTGGAGGACAATTTTCGTGTAAAAATAAATAATTAACGAAAGAGGTAAAACATAAGCGGCAAAGAATATGGTAACAATAAACATTCTCGTCTGTGACGTGTCTGTTAAATAATCGACCGTGCAAGTCGTCAAATAACCTTCAGGTGCAAATTTTCCCCAAATTTCTAAAAATGGTAGTACGGCCCACGGAAGAGCATAAATCCAAGTGAATGCAGCCAATAGGAAAGCTTTTTTTTTCCCGGATTTTTGTAGTGGATTCGTTATGGTTCTGAAATTTATAAATTGGTTAATGATGATTATGACAGTAATACAAAAATAAAATTTTCCTTCATTTTCCTCGAAGGAAATTCATTCTTTCTCTTCTTACTCGCATCTGTCGTATGCTATGCATGTATTCGTTATGCTGGCACCGATTCCCGATAGTGCACCAGCAGATGCAAATATTTGACACCAAACAAAACCGCATTCGAAACCTAAATTCATTGAATTATATATCATTATCGGTGTTTTCGCCATCATAATAAAATCAAATATTGCCAAATTAACAACGAAAACGTTCGATGCTGTCCTTAAATTTTTCGACCTGAAATGCAATAAACAAAAAATTTTATTACATTTAAAAAAAAAAAAAAATTCAATAAAAGTAAAAATATTATGATCACGTTGTAAATATCCATATGACGATTCCATTTCCGGTACAGGATATGACAAAAAAAATAAAATACAAAAAACCTAATAAATAATTTGACAAAGGATGAGGAGCTGAAAAATTGAACCAATGATCCGGTATGTGTACAAGTTCTGATGGATCCACATTCCAAATTAAACTTTCTTCTTTATCGATCCTGAAATTCTAATATTTATTTCAGGTTCGTGCACATAAAAAAAAACACAAATTTTACTTAATAAAAAAAATAATAATAATAATTTTTTGTTACCTGAATGGTTGATAATACGATAACGAAATATTATTTTCACTTTCTGTTGTTATTTTCATTTCACAAAAAAAATTCCTTTTCGATGATGATGATGATGATGATGATGATTCTTACTCGAAATTACGACGTTTTATTTATTTATATATGTATTATTAAAAAGGGGATGATTCCTTATAAAATAATTGTATTAAATTAATTTTTTTTTTTTTTTAATCCTTTTTTAGTAAAATTCGATACAAATTTTTTTTTTTTTTTTAATATCGATCCAAATAATCTTATTAATTAAATATTTTATACAAAAAAAAATTATTTGAGGTCATTTAAAAAACTTTTTATTACTCTTAAACCGTTACGGTAATAATTATAACCTTTCGAGTACCGTTAAAAAAAAATGGCGGCGCATTATGAGACTATTGGTATTGTTATTTGGGTATGAAAACGAAAGAAAATTCAAATTACAATTTTCATTTTATTAAATTTATAATAATAATGATAATAAATATTCGTTTGTTTGGTTTTAATTAATTTTTACGGCTTCCGCATTTATACATGTTTTTTAATTTTTTTATATCACCTCGACTTAAGCCTTCTCTTTGTCCCAATTCGACATTTTTCTGTAACGTAAAATATTTAATTAAATTTATAAATTTAAATTATTATTATTATTATTATTATTATTATTATTATTATTATTATTATTATTATTATTATTACTTACCATTGGTACGATTGTCGGTTTTCCATTTGTCGAAAATGCTTTTGCAGAATAATGCATAACGCTTCCATAATCGTAAGGCACACCTTGTCCATCAGTTGTTTCCGCCGTTGCTTTTTCGAAATTATTTTCCCTACCTGATAAAATAAAAAAACAATTTTACGAATATTACGGTAATGTGATTTTTTGTCTTCTTAAATTTCTCTCTCTCTCTCTTACCTTTTTGTACGTTTTCCCATTTTATTGTAACGTATTTATCTCTTTCGTGACGATTTTGTTCGTGTAAAAATCCTAATGCGTGAAGCATTTCATGTATAACCGTACCTTTTTTAGTTAAACAACCTGGAGTTTGTAAATTGAGCTCCTGGAAAACAAACAGACAAACATTATTCGACATACAATCAATCATACAATCACACATTATTAATTAACCTGTTTTCCTCCGACTTTTCCAACGGAACTCCAACATCCCGTATTTCCAGGTTTAAAATGTACATAATCTCTTTCTCCAGACCATCGTACCCATTTTATACATGTTTTCTTATGATATTCTTCAATTGCTGCCATTATCGTATTATAATCTTTATATTCTGAGAAAAAAATCAATAAATTGTTAATTGATTATCGATTACGACCTTGATAATAATTTATTTAATGTACAACTTACTGAAATCGTCGGATATTGTGTATGGTACGATACCATTTTTCCAATGTGAATTTTCCGATTTTAAACCGTTTCTACTTTTAGCATTGATAATTATGTCACCTTCAAAATATGTATCACCTAATTCTTCGGGATTCGTACCATCTTCCGGTTGCCATCGAGCAACTTTACTACCTATCGATGATAATAAACATATAGACCAAAAAATATTAATAATAATAATAATATTGGCCAAACATCTGGAGAGGCACAATAAAATTTGTCAATAACTTCACTGGAATATCTGAATATGGAATGGATGGGCTAGCCTAGGAGTGGTACCGACCCCGGTTATGCCAGTGGGTTCATGTAGGGTTCTCTATGATCAACAAATCTAGAACTGTGCCAGCCAACAAACCGGATATCATCCTGAGAGGCATAATGCGGAAAAATGGTGTAAGCTAATTGAGGTATCCGTACCGGCGGAAAAAACACCAGACAGCGAAAAAGGAGGCAAAAGGTTGAAATAGCCAGGATGTGGGGAGGTGTGAGATCAGAAACAATACCGTGGGATCACTGGGAGCCATGCCATTACATTCAATAAAAGGAAATTTAAAGAAAATTTTGAAGAATGTAAAAGGAGGAAAAACCATCCAGAAAATCGCGGAATGTGGGACGGCCCACATTCTTCGGAAAATTTTAGCACCAACGACATTTTCCTTAAAGGAATCGGGTAGAAACCAGGAATAAGTGCTTAAAAAATTCCGACAACTATTTAAAAGCATGACGTGTTCAAAAGTGAAAATAATAATAATAATAATACCTGTTTCTTCGTTGGGTATCGGCGATATGAATTGTTCAGAATCCGTATCGATTTCGTTTGTATTATTTTGACAATCCGCAATTTGTAAAATAAATAATCCGAGATAAATAATAATAATTAATTTTTTCATAGTTAATTACCTTAATTAAAAAAAAAACGACCGTTAAATAATTTTAAAAAATTTTACAAAAAACTTATTAACGAAAAAAAAATTACCCGTTAATTACTTGCTTACGACGTACGACTTTATTTTACTTACTGAAATTTTTTTTTTCACTGTCGTACCTTTTTATTATTATATATATATATATAGGTACAAAAACATTTGTCGGTTATGTCAGTTAAAAATTGATAAGGATTTTAAATTTTTTATCAATTGACAGGTCGATACGTATATAATTTAGGGAAAGAAAAAATTTTTTTTTTGTTTTCGGCTTTTTAATCAGAACAAAACCCTAAATTTTCAAAGTCCCTAACAAATTTATGTTTACTCAACGGTGAGAAACATTAATTAAAATTTATTACGTAATTTTTTTTTTTTTTTGGAATTCTTGTTTATTGATTTAACGACTTTTTTAAACAAAACATTCGACGGGTAATTTTTTTTTTTTTAAACGATTCGGTAAGTTTTCATAATAATAATTTTACATCTCGAAACTTTTTTTTTCTTTTTGTTATAAAATAAATAAGAAAATCTTATAAAGTTTTATTAATATTTAATTATTCATTTAACTTAATAAATAAATAAAAACTTTTTCGAAATATATCCTTTGGTGAGACAGCAACAAAAAAAAATAAATCTACAAAACTTTTTACTAAATTAAAAACAAAAAAGTTTTTCTTCTTTTCTTTTTATAAATAAACAATACATAAAATATGTTTAAAAACTTTTTCATTCATTCAATCATTCATTCATTCATTTGTGAAAAATTATAATGACGTCATTTATTAACACGTAATAAATTTTTTTTTTTTTTATTTTAAATTGAAAAAAAAGTAATCACGCAAAAAATACGATCGTTATATTTATTTATTTATTTAAAAATTATTTTTTTCGAGCGTTAACATAATAATAATAATATTAACAATAATAATAATGATAATAATAATAATAATAATTTATTTGATTTAACAATGTTGTACATTTTACATTAAAAAAAAAAAAACGATAAAATTACACGAGATTACAAAATTTATTTATTTATTTTGATAAAAATTAATAATAACACGTAGATAAATAATAATAATAATAATTTTTCAATACATAAATTTTTAATTAATTAATTTATACGCACACGCCCACGCACGCACGCACACACACACGCAATCATTTAAAAATAAAAAAATTAATATAAAATGTTAAAATTATTACATCGAGGATTCTTCAATGCGATTATTTTTTAATTTTCTTTTATTAAAAATTAATTTTTCCATTTCCGGTTGTTGTGGGGGTTGGGGTTGTTGTTGGGGTTCGGATGATGAATCTTTACGATTTTTTGTACTTTTTTTACTGTCTCTTAATGACGTTGACGTGCTCATAACATCGGATACGCTTTTCGAACCGTAACCTTCTCCTCTATTTTTAAAATTTTTCCTTCCCAATAATTTTCTTCTTAAACTTTCGTAAACTGATTTTTTACACACGAATAATATAAATATAAAAACGGCTCTCAATAAATTCAATATGTCGGAAAAATACCAATAATATTCGGGTCCACCGACGGCCCAACTTATTATTTCCGTTATCCAAGTCAAACCCATGAGTAGAAATAATTTACCGTATAAAATCAACCTGAAAAATTATTATTAAATTGTAATTAAATTTCAATTTTCTTTTTTCCAATACCCCCACTACCACTACCACTAATCCCCTACAACTACTACTACTACTTACTTTAATTTAAAAAAAAAAATGTTAATGGATTATAATTAATAAAAATTTTCGCATTAATTAAAGCTACTACTACTACTACTACTAATAATAATAATAATAATAATAATAATAATAATAAATATTTTCTAATAATTTTAATGGATCGTATTATTATTATTATTCATAAGAAAAATTGGATACGTGATCTAATGAAAATTGTATTAATTACGTCACGTATTAATTAATAACCGAAACCATTTTAATAATTTTATTTTTTATACAAAAATAATTTTAATAAATAATAAAATCGTTAATTGATATTATGTGTTTTAGAATTGGTGATAATAATAATAAGCAGCATGCAAATTTTTTTTAAAAGCTGTGGAAAACGTGCGTGCACGTGCACACGCACACGCACACGCAGGCAGGCAGGCAGGCAGGCAGGCATATGATTCATGATTTTTATTCAATAAATTATTAATTTTATAAAGTTAGTAATAATTATTTACTTACCGATTAATCGAGATAATAATAATAATATTTGAACAATATCATCATAATATATCAATAATAATAAGGTAATAAATAGATGCTGGGTATAATGCGCAGAGCAAAAAAAAATAAATAAATAAAAAATTATGTACAATAATTATTAAAATTAATTAAAAATCTTTTTTTTTTAATCGATTCTCACGTTAATATTCGAATGACTGACAACAACATTGATTGTTGTTGTTGTTTGTATATCGAATCGATATAATAATAAAAAAAAAGATTTTTAATAAATAAATAAATAAATAAAATAATAAAAAGCAAAAAATAAGCTGCTCACCATTGGATTAGGTCGTACCTCTGTTTATCTGTTTGATATGAGGAACCTCCGGTCGTATTAGAATCCGTTTTATGCAATATGGCCGTCATCTTTTGTACAGACATTATTTTTATTGTCGTAAATATAAAAAGTATTAAATTAAATATCAATAATATCGACATCGGACCGTAAAAATAAATCAATATCGATGCATTTGCTAAAAATTAAATTGTCAGTCAACATTGTTATCCAAATTATTATTTGCGTTTTTGATTGGATTCGTTTTCGATTTTGCATACCCGTGTTGAATCCGCAACTGCATGCAAATCCAGGTTTTAAAAAATCATATGGGATATCTGGTAAAAATTCCATTATCATTGTTACGATTGATATTATCGTCGTCAAACCCCACGAATATATGCAATACCATAAAAATTTTTTATATATTCCAACGTTTGAATGACCCAAAGATTTCGTAGAACTACAAAAATCATTATTATCATTATTATCATTATATTATGCAGATATCTCCTCCGTTAATTTAGTATCATCGTATTACCTAAATGTCATTGATATATCAATGCACATGACGTTCAACCAAAAAAACGATGCAAGGAATGTAAATTGTATGATAAGAGCTGTAAAAAAATTAATTAATTACATTAAAATTTTTTATCGATAACGTTTTCCATTTATTTATTTATTTATTTAAATAATTAAGGGGAAAAAATATAAATATTTAAAAAAGTTAATTAAAAACCAATTAATCTTATCATTTTCCTTACTCGCTCACTCACTCACTCATAGTTTAAAACGGAAACGGATTTGCGGTTATGCCGTGACATTATTATTATTATTATTATTATCTTTTTTTAAAGACATCATTTATCGTTTTTGTAATTTGTTTTTGGCATAATTGTTAAACAATTAAAATCATTAATTATTATTACTACTCACCAATGAGCATGCAACTTCTATCTCCTAAATTAGGTGATAGTTGACCTATGCCCCATGTGAAATAAGCAACCATTAACGATGCATTATGACTCAATGCTATTTTATTATGCATTCTTCTTCTCAATTCCGGTAGGTATAAGGATACGGCAACGGTTATCAGGAGACAAATACCACCCAAAATAAGAAGAGTACCGTAAACGACTGTAAAACAAAAAAAAATACCTTTTTTCTCGTTTGTTCATCTATAAATAATGATAATGATAATGATAATTCTTACTCGATTTAATGGGTTTTAAATTTAATTGTTCGTTTTTTAATGCGCTGCATAAAATTAAATTTTGATTATATATTTTTCCATTATCGTGCCAAGTCACTTCACCGCAATATTGATGAGGTTCGTAAAGATTTTTATATTTATTTACCTGGAAAATTCATTTATTTATTAATTTTGAATTTAATAAAAAATTATTATTATTATTATTATTATTATTAGTTAATACTTACTTTTATGCTTCCATTTTTAAATATTTTAAAATCGTTATCCGTTTCTTTATTAAATCTGTTACAGGATTTATATGCGTGATCTGGTACTTTTAAAAGAAGAGGATTTTCACACGATGGAAATGTATCCGATAGTAAATAATATTTATCGATTATTTCTTTCTGTAATAAAACGTTAAAATATTATTATTATTATCGCATGAGTTTATTATTTTAATATATTAAATTAAATGCAATCGATTTATTTATTTTCTTTCGCGATGAAAAGTTTTTTTTTTTCATTAAATAAAGATTGATCGAATTTTATTAATTTTTTATCGATCCATCGATCGATTAACTATCGATTATAGTTTCCGGAAGTAGTAGTAATGTTTTTTTTTTGTTGTTGTTAACGTGGTTGCGACGTTTTGTTTTCTCGAAAAACTTTTTTTTTGGTTGTTGTTGTGGTTGTTGCGGTTTTTTACTTACCGATTTCGGTCTCCAATTACCACCGGATGCCATTAAATTTCCGCTACTCTCACATTCGTCTTTTGTAGAATTAAAAAATTCACCATCGCTACAACATTTTCTTATGCACAACATAGTACGACAAGGGCAAAATACTAAAAAAAATATTTTTTTAAATCCGACATCGACGCATGCATCTTCCATTGGAAAAGTTCTCACGACGTGTTCTAAATAAAATTGTCAAATAAAAAATCAAGTCGTTTTGAAAGAATCGGGGGGTAGGGGGTGAGGGGTGGTTGTGGGGACATTCGACGCGACGAACTAACTAATTATAATATACCTCCATCCCTTGATTTACTTAAAAAATTAATTTTTATTTTAAATCTGAACAAAAACAAAAACTAAAAAAAAAAGGAAAATTTTTTCTATGCGGGTCACGCTACCCTACCGTCAAGAAAAACCTTTTAAGTCGAATCAGGGGGAGGGAGAGGGAAAAGGGGAGTGGCATTTGGGAGTAATATATATAAAAAATTTACCAGATGATGATGATGATGATGATGGAAAAACATAATTAGATTCCTTATCCGTTCGTATAATTGGAAATCGCCATATTCCTTGTGTCGCGCTATGTAACGAACCCGGTTTCGACACGTGAATTTTAAAAGTTTTATTTTCGTAAATGATAAAATTAAAAAATTCAATGACGTCTCGTTTGTAATAAGCGATTTGAGTTGTTTGTTCGGATGAACAATTAGGCCTAAAGCCATAATTTACCTTGAAACTATTATTATTATTATTATTATTATTATTACCGAGTAATTTTAAATAAATATCGCGATGGTGTGAGTGAATTTTTAATGTCGTACCATTGACTATGGAATCAACGGGAAACCACGAAAAATCATCACCGCCACCGCCATCATCATCATCATCCCGTACTATTTCTTCATTTGTTTTTTCATTTTCTTTTTTTTTCCTCCCTTTATATTCTTCATCGGGCACGCATTTTAAATCAATGTCAAATTTTTCACCCAAAGGGCAACATTTATTTATTTGAAAATTTTCACACGATCCTTTCCAGAGTGGAAAGGTTAAAAACGAAAACAAAAAAATGAACCGCATTTTATTTTTTTTTTTAATTTTCAATACGAACACTATCACATCGAAAAATCAACACCACGTGGTCATTAATTCTCATCTTTTTCTTCTTTTTTTGTTGTTTATTTTAATTTCACGTGTGTCGTTTGCACGTGGCCCCCCCAAAAACCAAACACGAGCACAAAGTCACAAAATACTCTTCATATAAAAGGGAGGGAAGGTGGTGGGTAAAATTAAGGAAGAAAATTATTCCGATTCCACTAAAACATTATTATTATTATTATTATTATTATTATTCAACTTCGAAACAAATCACAATTTTCTAATAATAATAATAATAATAAAATTTTGAAACGAGTTTTAATCACCGCAAAAACAAAACAGAAAAATATTTTATATCGCGTCAAGAGCTCGATTACATCTGTGTGTGTGTGTATCTGGTTAATTCGTATATCTACGACAGCAATAATAATAATAATAATAATAATAATGATGATGATATTATAATTAAATGGCGTCTCAATTACAACCCAAAAAAAAAAAAAAGAGCAACACTTTAATTATTAGTATTATCAATTTTTATTTTTAAACGAGAAATTACTCCACTTTAAATTTTTATTTATTATTATTATTATTTATTTATTTATTGATTTATTTATTGATTGATTTATTTATTTATTTTTTTAATCGACGTAAACTTTTTCTTAAAAAAAAAAAAAACTTTCCAGACTCTTTCGATCACTTATTAAAATTTCAAAAAAAATAAAATATCACAATAAATTTCGTGCAGTTTGTTGTTGTTGTTGTTCTGTTTATTATTATTATTATTATTATTATTATTATTATTATTATTATTATTATTATTATTATTATTATTATTACTATTATTATTATTAAAACTTTCTCGTTTTCGTTAAAAAAAAAAAAAAATTTTAAAGATTCACATAAAATTGAAGACGGTTCGAACGATTTTGAAATATTAAAACCAATAAAAAAAAAAAAAAATCTGTTTGATTATTTATTATCTGCCATTTTATTATTTTTAGGCGCGATTCAAAATTAATTATAATTATAATTATAATGAAGGTGATAATGATGATAATGATATGACATCAATGAAATGATAATAGTTATCGATAATTGATTTATTTTTAACCGATTTTATTTTTACGTTTACAACTGATAAAAATAAATAAAATAATTCATCGATGATGATAATGATAATAATTTTTCAATTAAATATTAATATTTCGAACCGTTTAAACAAACAAAAAAATGGCGGGAAATTTAAAAATAATTTTTTTTGCTTGTTAAGCTTTTTTTTTTTTGTTTTTCAAATTTTTTTTTAACTTTTAATAAATTGTTTGTTATTAATTGTTTATTATTTTTTTTTTTTTTTAATTTTACTTTTCGCTTTAAACAAACGAACAAACAAACAATTAAACAAACAAAAGATTTTAAAGAATAAAACAATAAGGGCGTAATAAAATACAAAGAAAAAAAAAAGAAAAACAAAAAATCTCTTAATTGATATCGTATGTCAATTTAAATTTTAAATAATTTCATTTTAGAATTAAAAAAAAAAATCATTATTATTATTATTATTATTATTATCGCGACGTAAAATTATTACCAGTAATTATTTAATTTATTATTAATAACAAAATAAATTTTTAAACGCTCGAATTTGGCATCCTAAAGGAGTAAAATTT